ATACGAGAAGCAGATCAAACACTTTGGTGAGTGTTTGGGGGGGGGTTGGGGGGCTGGGACCCCCTTTTTTGGGGGGCTCCATGCTTGGAAACACCCTCCCTGTGCCGGGAATCCACAGGAAATCCACTCACTCCACTGAAAAATTACGGATTTTATGTGTTTTTCCCAATTTTTCCCTGCTGGGGCAAAGCTCAATTTAAGGGGAGTGGGTTAATTAAACCTCGGGATGAGTCACCCCCTTCCTTCCTCCTGCTTTCCTGACGAAGTTTAGAGTCCCTTCCTTAGTTACCACGTGGCAAACATTCCCACTTTTGTTTCCCAGGGATGCTGAGGCGTTGGGATGACAGCCAGAAATACCTCTCAGACAACCCTCACCTGGTGTGTGAGGAGACAGCAAACTACCTGGTCATCTGGTGCATCGACCTGGAGGTGGAAGAGGTGAGAAACTGGGGTGGAATTGGGGTGAAATCCCTTTTTCCAGGCTGGAGTTGCCTTGTCCTCACCTCACAGGGCCTTTTGGTTTGGTTTTCCTGCCAAAAAATGAGGGAATTGGGGAATTACAGGTGGGGAAAGATCCTTGAAATCGTTCTTTGAGGGTGCCCACCCCCTCCTTGGAAAGGGGGAACTCACCCTCAGCTCCCCGTCCTGGGTTTTCCTGGCACGAGGAGCCCAGAGCTGGGTGCAAAATCAGGGAATTTGGGAAGAATTTGGGTTCAAAAAGACCTTTAGGATCATTAAATCCCACCGAGTCTCGTCCCCGCTGTGGGGAACAGGGAATTTTTGGGATTCTCACCCCCTTTTCCCTCAGAAACACGCGCTGATGGAGCAGGTGGCCCACCAGACCATCGTCATGCAGTTCATCCTGGAGCTGGCCAAGAGCCTCAAGGTCGATCCCAGGGCTTGTTTCCGGCAGTTTTTCACCAAAATTAAGGTAAAAATCCCACCTGGGCACCCCCAAACCCCCCCCTCGAGGCTGAGGGTGCCCCGATTTCCACGGGTTT